CCCACTCAGGCTTCCCTGGTTCTGGTGGTCCGGCCCTCATTGCCTTCTGATGCTGGAGCTTTCTCCTGCCTAGTGCCCGGCAGCCTGCAAAGCATCACTGGGCCTCAGAGCAGCTCTCTGCAGGTCTTGATCTCTGTAAATTGCAGGTCAGGAGACCTGGGCTCTAGCTTTGGCTTCGTTATTAGTTGTCTTGCCTTTGACATGTCACTTAAAATACCAGGTCTCACTTTCCTCATCAATAAAATGAAGAGTTAGATGAAGAGGACTCTTAAGTCCTTCCAGCATGTATTTATGGTCAATGTTCTGTCCGTTCTTATTGAATCTTCTTGATAAGACTCTTAGCACATCCCTGTTTATTGCTGGTTGTTAAACAGCACTATTGTCCATTACTTAAAAATTGCTTGTCCTGGGACACCAATGGTTTTTGGTTCCGGAATTGACCCCTGGTATAACTGTTGTTGTCTTGCTTCCATGGGACAGGTTACCCAGACCAGAAGGTCAGGAACGTAAGGACTTGTGCTATTTATTCACGATCCCGGTTCTTTAGAAGGAAGGATCCGGTGGCAGAATTATGTTTTGATCTAGGCTGTTGTTGTAAGAAGAGCCTTGTAACCAGTCTCACCCTTCAGCTGGCCTTTCTTACGTGGAAAGTTGAGGAGTGCTGTTTGCCCGCACAGATGCCGCAAATCAGATGCCTTGCCTGGGCTCTGTCCAGGCTGCAGTGCTGCTTGGGAGCTGAGCCAGGGATGATTCAGGAGCATCATCCTGTCCTAACGGTGCCTCAGAATCCCAGCAGCGCCAGCGGGAAAGCAGCGTCATACCAGCTCCAGTCACCACAGTATTCAATGCAGACTTCTCAGGAAATACATTTCATTCATTTAACAGATATTTACCAAATAGTTATTGCATGATAATGACAGCACTGTTCTAGGCTCAGAGAAAATAGCAGTGACGTGAATAAATTTCTGTCAGAAGGCAGGAATATTCTAATGGGCAAGAGAAACGTGCAAAATATGAATAGTTAGGGGGTCAGTGCTGTGGAGAATAGGGCGGGTGATGCGGTGGGGAGGGGTGCGGGCTGTCTCAGGAGGTCTTGACACTGGAACAGCAGCTTAGAGGAGGAGGGTATCTGGGGAGTGGGGAGACGGTGGGGGGCGTCTCCTTCGGGGGGAGAGTCCGAGGGGGAGGAGGCTGTGGCGTCCTGTGGCAGCAGAGGGGAGGCCGGCTGTGCAGGGCCTGGGGTCGGGTGAGGACCTGCTTCTTTTCCTGAGTGATGCAGGCAGCCCTTGGAATGACACGATTTAGGAGTTTTCACTTATGCTTCGCTTGGTTTGGCCTTGCGTTTCCCTGAGTGTGTATCCTCTTTAAGGGCTTTTCTTGACTTCAGATCCCTTGAACTCAAAGCTCTGGAATTGACCTCTGTCCCCCCAGCTTCCTGACACCAGGAAGGAGGTGGGGGTCGCCCTTTCCAGGAGGAGCCCCACGGCTTCTCCGGACGTGGTCCTCAGCCTTCGGAAAGGGCCCCTGATCCCTAATCGCCTCCGCACGCCTCCGCACCCCTAGGCTGTCATCTGCCCTAGGCACCCGGCTACACCTTGTGTGTGGCCCCCGGTCCCCCACACCTGTGCCGGGTTTCCTCCCAGTGTTGTCCGTCCCTGACATTTCAGACTCTAAATAGTGCGGGATGCGGTGGGCTGTGAATAAACGCACTGACACCTGTAGCCCTGTCTCCCGTCCTCCGCCCGCGTCCCCTCCCCGTGATCCTGCACCTTGGCCTCCAGGGGGAGCTCGCCCCACCGTCCTGAGGCCTGGAGGATGGACGCCCTAGAATACTGGAGGAGCAGTGATGAAGGATGTGGGCAACTGAGTGAGACATCACTCTTCAAGTCCCATTTCATCTGCATCCTAACTGTACAACACTGGGTGAACTGCTCAAGCTCCCGGAGCCTCACCTGTAAAATGAGGAGAAAAAGGTGTATGTGAGGAATAAATGAATTAGTGTGGGTGGAGCGGGCATTACGGCGTTACCAGTAAATGGAAGCCAGTTAGACAAGGTTTTCTTTCCTTTTCTTTTTTTAAAAATAAATTTATTTATTTATTTTTGGCTGTGTTGGGTCTTCGTTGCTGCGCATGGGCTTTCTCTAGTTGCAGCGAGCGGGGGCTGCTCTTCGTTGCGGTGCGCCGGCTGGCTCAGGGCTGGGCCAGGAGGAGGACAGTGGGAATGGGTGGTGTTTGCAAGACGCCCGGGGCTGGAAGACGCTCTTTTCTTCCTTGGGTTCACTGAACAGGGAAGATAGACCTAATACATGTGTTTCCTCTTTTTTGCACATGCATAGCTCATTTCTAGAGAGTTGCACAGAGGCAGTTAGTACTTAAGAATCACTTAAAATAGTCATAGTCTTTTATTTTCACGTATTGATCATGTAAATCAGGGTGGGATTGTCCCTCTCGTAACAGCAGCTGGGTTTCTCGGGGCAGGACTAGTTGCTTTCTCTCTTGTGCACCATGCATTCCTCCCTCAACCCACCACATGCTGGTTTCCTTTGTCACCGTTGCCCTGAATCTGCCGGTCAGGTCCCTGGGCCAGGAACCTGGAGCAGGCAGAGAGGAGCCAATGCTGAAGGGGCAGATTCAGAGCCCACGCTGGAATGTGGAGGCCCAGAATACAAGGAATGAGTTTGGACGGTTTTTAAACATATGAGCTATAAAGGTAAATGCAACTGCAGAAATAATTATTGAGACGTAAGTTATGTAACGTGACTCACAGAGAGAAGGACAATAATCAAAAGAAATCCTAAAAGAGTTTTTTTTTAAAAAAAGTCCAGCTTAAATGTGTTTACAGAAGTTAGATAAAGCAAACCTGTTATGTAAGTAAATGTAAATGTTTTTTAAAATCCACTTAGGAGGTGTTTAACAGATACACCTGAAACAAAATTATGTAAAAGTAATAAAGATGGGCAAAATTTTATCAGACAAACATAAACAGAAAATAACCAAATGGCATACAATTTAATTTTTAGTAAAAAGAAGAATTTGAGGCAAAATGCAATAAATGTGTCTAAAAGGTAAAATTTCTCTATATTAAATAAATAGTGCAGTTAATATTGAATATTACATATGCTTTTATATATTAAACATTATAAGGTCAACATGTGATGCAAAATACCCCAAGATCCAGCAGTTTTACTCCTGGATGCATTCCAACAGAAATGTATACTTCTGGTTCCTGCAAAAAACACACTAGAATATTTGTAACAGCACTTTCTGTAATAGCCCCCAAATTAAAACTCCTCAGATGACCATCACCAGTAGAAAGGATGAATAAATTGTGAAATATCCCTGAATGGAGTACTGTACAGCAGTGAAAATGAACAACCCTCACCCAGCAGTCTACAGAACCTTGAAGCCAGACTACTGAGAAAAAGCCCAGGACCACAGATGAGCACAGGCTGTGTGATTCCATTCATACAAGGAGAAAAGGGAATGAGCAGAGCTCATCTCAGAGGGCAGAAGCCAGAACAGGTGGCTCCCTTTGAGGAAAGTGGGGCCGTGACTAGACGGGGGTGGGATGGGGACGGGGTGTCCCATGTTCTGGTTACGTGGGAGAGTTTATGACAATTTCTCAATCTGTCCACTTGATTTCTATATTTTTAAAAAATATATTTTATTTTGGCAAAACATTTAAATGTGAACAAAAAAATTATCAGAAGTACTGGAAAACTGTACAGAAAATTTATTTTAGAGATTCCTGCATATTGCTTCAGGCTTTTTGCTTAAATAAGAAATAAACAGATTTTTGAGTAATACAGCTATTTAGATTGAATTAATGCATATTGATATTATACCTTAAAACATATCTGTGTGTATGTATTGATATATACTTTAAATATTTTTTAACTGTTGATCCTGTGTTATACCAAGAAGAAATCTTAAAGTCTCCCAAATAGGAATTGTACGGACCATGTGATATTCTGAAACTACCATGTGGTGAACTGGAAATTATTATTAATATTTTAAACAACTTCAAAAATTAACCACTTGGGCTGTCTCTTAAATATTTGGCCAGTGATTAAATCAAGATGACAATTACACATTGTAATTGTTTTTTAGAAAGTAAAAGTGAGAAAGATAAATATTTCCTAAAAGTTTGTCCAGATGTGTAAAGCTGTATTGAGGGACAGCAGTGGTAAATTCATAGCCTTAAATGCTTATATTATTTTTAAAGAAATAAAAATAATTGTGTTTATAATTCAGTTTGGCAAGACAACTATAAAACAAACCTAAGGCAAGTATGAGGAAAGAGGTGATAAGACTAAAAGCAGCAAATGAAATAGTTAGGAAAGACAAAAGAAAACAATAGATCTGATGGGTGAGTCTAAGTACTCATTTCTTGAAAGGAAAAAGAAAACAACACAGTAATATAGGCAGACCTCTGGCAAATGTAACTAGGAATAAAATAACACAAGCATAAAGAGAAACAAGAAACCCAATTAGACAGAAATTTTTAAACATAGCGTGCTTTATATCATGTTATACCAATATATATTTTTAAATTGCAATGATAAATAACAAACCTGGGAAATTGTAATTACAAACATTTAATTATGAGAATAAAACCCTAATCGATGCAGAATTATTGGAGGAATTGGAAAGATCATCAGTTCATGGTGTGAGGTCAGACAGTGATTGTGAGTTTTTTAAAGCATCTCAAGAGGCCTCCTGGGGGTGGCCTGGCTCTGCCCAGTGCTCAGACCCCCATTCGACCTCGGTTCACCTGCTTACCCTCATGGAGTGAATGCACGGACCAGTGAATGCCTGCACACGAGCATAGTGGGGGCGAAACAGCCCTCTCAGAGGTTATCACAGACTTACGTTCTTAATAGGGGCTATTGAATAGTGAGCATTCAATTAACAGTGGGCATTATTGTTAGCAGATGTCTCATAGTATATGGGAATCAGAATATCAATGAGTAATCATTTGATATTTATTTATTTTTCAGGTTATCCTGAGCCAGAAAAATTTTCCTGGACAGAATATCTGGAAGCTACTCGAACTAATGCAGTACCTGCCAAAGTTTTTAAAATGGTAAGTTTGGATCTGTAACACTCCCAGCTTTTTTAAACAGTGTCCTTGTGGAATGGTGCCTTCATTTGGCAATTCAAAATCATTCTAGTTTTCTCCTTTTAAATTCAAGTGTTGTTTCCATGACCAATTTGCTTTGCTTTTCAGTTAAAAATACAAAGGAGGTGACTCATTTACTGTTGTTCCTATACACCAGTGTAGGTGACGATTTCCCTCCCTGAAGTCCGGTTGGAAGCCCCCTCAGCCTCTGATGACTGAGCCCTTCCTTTCTGGGTCTGTTGGTCCTCTGAGTGGGAACCCTGAGCTTTCGGTCTCAGGGACTGTTTGATGGTTGATGATGCCGGGATAAAATAGATGGAGTGTATGTAGCCCCTGTGTGTTACCCTTTCACCTATTTTGAGGGAACATTGCTTTTAGCAATTTGTCAGAATACCAACTAGTAAAGTTCAAATTTGTACTTACACATTTATTCCAGGATTAAACCAAGTATAAAGAAAGTGTACTGATAGCTTAGTTAGAGATACTTATGTTCTAAACCAGTGGTTTTCAAGCTCTGTTCCCTTTCAACTATGTGTCCCTGACTCATCTTTAATCAGAATGTTATATAGTGAGCTTCTCCATGTGATTTCTTTTACTGAAAGTTTTCTAAAGATCAAAAGGGGTTTAAAACAGAATGCTATTTCGTTTTTTAAAACAATTGATTAAAATAGGTCGAATTTGGAGGAAGAGGTATGATCAAATTAAGAGGGCTAGAAGTTCTGGCATGCTAGAAAGCGTTTTAAGAATTGCAAAAATTCAATAAGCAAAAATACCAGCTGCTTGTAGTCTCACTTTCTCTCTTGCTTTATGTCAAAGCTTCACTTTACTTTTCCAAGAAGAAAATTACAAGAAAATCATATTATGAAAAGATTCAGTTAAAAAGGCAACCTCCAGCCTGTGTCACAGGGTTATTAAGGGTTCACCTCAAGCTGTATGTCTTTGGCATCTGCAATATGAAACAATTACCTTTGTTATCAGCATGGTGACCTCGGGGAGAAAAGAAATATTTTCAAGGATCAGAGACCTAATTATAGTCAGTATGCTCCATTTAGTAGACATAATAATGCATTTTAGAAACAAATATGCTTCCACAAAAGCTGGAGAGGAACAAACTAGGTGTTGTAGAAAGATTTAACTGTTTTGTAAGTCAGGCATTATCAAAAGTTTTTTTTTCCTACTGCCATTTTCTAGACTTGAGAAATTCAGTACCCTTTCATTTTCAAGAAAGTCGACTGAACACTTTTATGTGTAACAGCTTTCAAAGTGAAACTTTTTGCCATCCTTAAACACTGGCAGAGTTGTCTTTTGACTGATTTTTGGTAAATTTCCTCAGTTTCAATGATTTGGTAAGCCCCAGTGCATTTTTTCCCCACTCCATTTTCTTTAGTGTTTCCTGAGTGTCCATCGTTGTAGACTCCTGGTTCCCAGCATTTTAAGACTTGGAAGAAACCCTAAATTAATACAGTTTAACATGCTTATGTTAAAGATGAAGCACCAAAAGCACAGATTATGACTTTAAATTACATTGTGGTTTGATTTTAAAACATTTAGCTGTTATAATTATGGCAGATTTTATCTATTTTAAAATTTAAAGGATCATGTTTATCCTTTCTGATTTTTTGTTAATTTTGCCTTCTGTGTCTTACACTCCAAAACTGGGCAGTGATAATAGTCAATGATTTCTTAATTTAAAAGGTTAATTTTAGAAAAAAATAACATCTAAACCAATAGATAGATTATAATAAGATCCTTTTTTGAACTTGTGACCATTAATGAATTTATGATTTAATCTTTGTCTTTTAGCTATCTTGAAAATTACCAAAATATTATTTTTCCTCCTGCAGGTTTTTATGAAAGTGGATAAAATAATATGCATGAAGGTCTATGTGCTCTTAAAACTAAATTCCAGTTGTATTAAATATCTGATGTAAAGTTAGAACAGTCATATTTTAGAAAACGTTAGTAGCACATCTGAACTATTGGATTTCGCATAACTTGTTGCTCTTGTAATGTTACAGCGGTTGCCCCATGGTTTTCTCCCGAATATGAAACTTGAAGTCGTGGATAAACGAAACCCCAGGTTAATTCGTGTTGCTACGATTATAGATGTTGATGACCAAAGAATAAAGGTACACGTTTGGATTAGTACGATATTGTATTGGCGTTTTCCCTACGTTTCCTGTGAGACTGGCTTCAGAGGCTCTGATTTCTTATCTCAGCAGGAGAAATCGAACTGGCCTGACTTCACTGCTGGTCAGGAGACTCTGGTAGAAGGTCCTCTAGCCAGTGTGTGTGGAAGGGGACTCTGTAGATTAGACACGACTGATTTTCAGAGGGTTCTTACACATCCCTGTTTGGATTTGCTGCATAGACGTTATACATTTTGTTCCTTTTTTAAAAAAGGCTTCTTTTTGTTGGTATTATCAGATTTTTCTTGAAACTGTTGTCATTAAACACCTTTACAAGAACGATTACCTCCTTGTTCTCTCCTATTCAAACAAAAGGTTAGATTTTGAAGTGAAAATTTGATTCACAGATTTCTATACCATCCTTGCTGTGACATCTGGATTTTAAAAATATACACATCTTCAAAATTAAATTATCCTTAAGTGAAAGCCTTTCGTTTTTTTTATACAGAAAAAGCTGAAGGCATCTGTGGAGTTCAGTAAATCTTCTATAGCATATGACAGTTCAGAAATTATTTTCCACCCAAGCACAGTTTATTTTCATATTAATAAACAGATTGAAGCCAACGAATATTTATAGAAATTATTAAGAAAGATGTATTTAAGTTCGATATACAGTTTGATATAATTTAAAAGAAATCTTATTTGCTATGTGCCTAATTTGAAAACAATTTCTAATTCATCTCATAGAGAGTAGTCAGTATGTACATTTTAGTAAAACATAGAGATGCGTATTTGGCTTGGCCATGGATTATCAAAAGCAGATATTGGCAATGTCCTTTATTTTTCTGACAAATGAAAACTGTGCTAAACGCTATTCAGGAATAATATGTTATAGGTATTTTCTCCCACATACATTGTTATTAAAGTTTTATTTTAAATTTAATCATATTGCATAAATTCTTATTTGTAGCTTTTTCTTGTTTACTCTTTTTAAAATTTATTTATTTATTTATGGCTGCGTTGGGTCTTCGCTGCTGCATGCGGGCTTTCTCTAGTTGCGGTGAGCCAGGGCTACTCTTCGTTGTGGTGTGCTGGCTTCTCATTGCGGTGGCTTCTCTTGTTGGGCAGCACAGGCTCTAGGCGCGTGGGCTTCAGTAGTTGTGGCACGCAGGCTTAGTTGCTCCGTGGCATGTGGGATATTCCTGGACCAGAGCTCGAGCCCGTGTCCCCTGCCTTGGCAGGCAGATTCTTAACCACTTCACTACCAGGGAAGTCCCTTATTGTTGTTTACTCTTATAGCACTTACTGTGGGATTGATTTTTGGATATCATAATTACTTTATAAATTCAGTAATATTTCATTATTGAAAATGAGCATCAGGTTTTTTTCTTTAAGTTCTTATTTACCTTTCATTATAAAGTTATTGCATTTATAGGAAAAGCTTAATCTTAATAGTACATAAAATGTTGTTTAGAATTTTAATTGACAGATTATTTTCTTGTGGTTCCTAAGATACCTACAATAGTATCCAATTGAACGTATTTGTCAGCTTACAGTGTGATCATATTGGATTAGTATTACCGTAAAATACCATTTGAAAACCTTTAGCTCCTAAAGTAAGTTTAGTATATTCCTTATTTACCATCTCAGCACTGGACTTTAAAAATCTCTTAAGATTTAGCTCATCCTTCCAAAGAAGTATTTCATGTCTCTTCTTATTCTTTTTCTTTCATGGAAATTGCTTTGACCATTACTAGAAGAAAAAGAGTTGAAAAGTATTGGGTACTTTTCACAGGCTTAGAACCCTAAGTGTTACCTCTGTGGTTGTGGGCATAATGGAAACCCCTTTAGGATTTTAGGGCTAAATTAAGATGTGAAATGGTGCTTTAGAAAATGTGCAATGCATTGCTTCCACACACCCTTCAGTCTGCCAGAATGTATCAGTCTTGGAATGACATAGGTGTCTCTGGGCTGTGGAAAACTTGCGGTCTCCCAAAGAGCCTCTGACCTCCTGCAACACCTGCCACCATGGCCCCCACCCTGTCCCTCCCCAGGCAGGCCCGCAGCTGGGTAAGTGCTTGTCCTGCCCCGTGAGGTGGAGGTGAAGGGATTGTCTGGGGGCTGGCGCAGATGTCTGAATGGAAACAAATTACAGAGAAGGTTCAGAAGCATAGCTTAAAGTTCCATTCATGGGTGTTCCCAGGGAATACAGGGTGTTGAAAATGAGCGTCAGGTTTTTCTCTGAATTCTTGTCTAAGTAGATTGAAGGTAGTGGTGGGGTTATTTTGCCAGTTGAGAAAGCAGTTGACCCTTTCCTGGTCTCCTCTTGTCCGGGGACATCTCTTTGTTCCTTTATTAATGTGTTGGTCATATAGTTCTGCAGTTTCCTCTTTTAATGTCAGTATCCTTCAAGGACTGTTTTTATCGCTGGCATGTGATAGATGCTTAATGTATGTGTGAGCGAGGGAAGGAGTGAAGGATGAGTGGCATGGAATGTACCTTGGCGTCCTCCCATTTGAATGAGACAGTTGTGATAGTCACAAAGCACTCTTCCCTCATGCTCAGCTGCTCTCCTGACTCCTCTTCCCTTGGAAATCTAACTCAGCCTGCTGCACAGGAAAGCACCATAGGTTCCACTGGTCAGGTTTGATTCCAGCTCTGACCGTGTTGATACCTTGGTAGTTACTCAACTTATTTGCACTTTCCTCATCTGGAGAGCGATGTGGTTCACAGTGCCCACCTCCCAGGCTGGCTTTGAGCATCTGGATGAAGATTGTATACAAAACTCCTGGAACTGTGCCCTGCTCTTTGTAGGGCATCAGTTGGCCGCCGCTGCAGTATTAGTCAGTGCAGGTGCCCTGGGCTGCGCTCCCGGGGGCCCTGGTTTTCTGTGCTAATGAAGTAATTGTCATCAGTAGGGGGAGAGGAAACAAGCCCAGGCTACTTGGTGAGCAAAGCAGGGAGTCCCCGGGGATGCTAACGGAGCATGTGCGATTGTGCCACGGGCCTGGGTTTGAGTGTTGGGGGCCAGCCTGGTGAACAGCAAGAGCGATCTTAGTGCTGATGGTGATGACGGTGTCAGACACTCCTCTAAGGGCTTTATATACAGTAGTGTATCCTCACAGCCACTGGGCCACATAAGGTACTATTGTACCCATGTTATAGATGAGGAAACTGAAACTCAGAGAGGTTAAGTAAATGGTCCAAGGTAGCAAGCTAGTATATGGGGGAACCAGGCTTTAAACCCTGGGTTTCAAACAGGGTTTTCAACCCTAGAGCTTATATTCTTCCTGCTCCTACTCTTACGTTCTACTTTTTGTCATAATTACCCCACTTGCTAGAGGGAGAGCAGATGTCTAGGACAGGGAGTGGAGTTCATCTGTAACACCACTCTACTGTGTCTTTTGTGCAGAGCTCACGTTGCCTGTCCTGCCTGGAGGTTTGTGTGGTCCTGGCATTCCATGGCAGAGCACAGCAGACCCAGCAAAGACACACTTTGTTCTTTTCTGCCACTCCCTAAATATATAGTTGCCCATATGTGCTTGATTAGTTCTGTTTTATAACAGCTTTTTGAAACAAAATCACATACCGTAAAATGTATTGGTTTTGAGTTCGTTCTCAGAAGTGTGCAACTGTCACCACTATCTAAGTTTATAACATTTTCATCCCCCCACAAAAGAAAGCTCACATCCATTAGCAATCACTATTTGTTCTACACCTCCACCTTAGCCCCTGATAATCCGGCTTTCTGTCTCTATGGCTTTGCCTATTCTGAACATTTCATATAAATGGAATGATATAATATGTGACTCTTTGTGTCTGGCTTCTTTCACTTCCTGTAATGTTTTGAAGGTTTCATCCAAGTTGTAGCATGTAACAGTACTTTATCCCTTTTCATTTCTGAACAGTATTCCACTGTATGCATGTACCACATTTTGTTCATTCATCATGGGTAGACATTTGGGTTGTTTCCACTTTTTGGCTAGTTTTAAAAATTATTTATTTATTTATTTATTTATTTATGGCTGCGTTGGGTCTTCGTTGCTGTGCGCGGGCTTTCTCTACTTGTGGTGAGCAGGGGCTACTCTTTGTTGTGGTGCACAGGCTTCTCATTGCAGTGGCTTCTCTTGTTGCGGAGCACGGGCTCTAGGCGTGCGGGCTTCAGTAGTTGTGGCTCACAGGCTCTAGAGTGCAGGCTCAGTACTTGTGGCGCATGGGCTTAGTTGCTCTGCGGCATGTGGAGCAAGGGACCAGGGCCCAAACATGTGTCCCCTGCAATGGTGGGTGGATTCTTAACCACTGCTTTTTGGCTATTTTAAATAATGGTGCTGTGAACATTTGTGTGTGTTTTTGTGTGCACATATGTCTTCACTTCTCTTAGGTATATATCTAGGAGTAGAATTGCTGCGTCCTATGATAATTCTTTGTTTAATGTTGTGCTCCAAAGTGGCTGCACCATTTTACATTCTCACCAGCGGTATACAAAGGTTCCAGTGTCTCTACATCCTTACCAACATTTGTTATTGTCTCTTTTATTTATTATGGTTATCTCACTGGGCCTGAAGTGTTTAGCTCCAAAGAATCTGAATTATTACATGTGACCACTAAAGAGAAGGGGGATGCTTCGTGGTTGCAGTAGTAGAAGCAGGGGCAGTAGTGGGTGTGGTGATGTCAGTCTCAGGAGTCACAGACACAGTAATAGGAAAGTAAGAAGACCCCAGTGCCGAATGTGGGCTTTGTTCCAGGGAGCTCGTTGAGTATGTCACATATCGCATCACATGTCGCATCTTTATCGTCACAACAACTCTCTTGTTTATTTTTTATTGAGATATAATTGACGTATAGCAGTATATTATTGATAGTTTCAGGTGTACCATATGATTGGAGATTTGTATATGTTGGGAAAGCATCACCACAATAAGTCTAGTTACACAACAGCCCTTCCAGGTAGGTGTTATTTCTTCTTTGCAGTTGGCACGAACTGAATTTGACCAAGGTTG